CGCGGCCAAGCCGGTATACTCTTTTTGCTTTCACCGAAGGACACTTACTTCTTCGTCAAGTTATTGGAGCTTTAAGTTTCATTTTAATATGGTGACTGTATAGTGATATCGATAATTTTACATTATAACATTAGCATACAGGTATTTGTTACCAGCTTCTTAATACACGTTATTGATGAAAGCAAACTAAGATTTTAATGGAATATAACCAGGGAACAGTGAAATTACTTCCACTGTTCCCTGCTATAACATAAACAGCCAGAAAGGAGCTTAAAGGCACCAGTCTTTCCTCATCGGTAGAGGGTATGAAATAAGGGGATTTGTAGGTAGATACTCAAGTCATACCTGAAGGGAAAAAAGAGTCGAGGAAGAGTGTGTCGGCAGTATTGCAGTGGTAACTGTATATTGTACAGTAAGACGTCCATTTTACGTACCCCTTGGTACCAAGGAATATATCGTAATTTGAAAAATTTGTAAACTAGATCAGGTGTCGGTTTCCACTACCTAGGCTTAGCTATACTCTGCCATTGAGTGCTGATAAGCTGACGGCGGCCAGGCCTAGCATGAACTGACGGTGCTGCAGTGTGGTCCACCGCGCTAGAGCCTAGCTTAACTTACCTTCGATAAAAACCAAATTATGGTAATCACTGGCATTTTCCCGTTTAACAAAATGTTTTAATTCATAAAACTTCTGTATGTTTTATGGACCTTTCTATCATGTTATTTCTAGATTTAGATTGCGTAAAAATGTGCGCTCAATCTGACAGCTCGCGTTGGTAATTTGTTGTTCTTGTTAAATTTATTACACTATAATATAGCAAATATTATAGCAGAAATTTAAAAAAGAAGATTGAACTATTAATAAATCAATACAGCAAACCTGGTTTTATTAAGAAAAATATATATTATCATAAACGTACGCAAACTTTTTTTACGTTATTTATTGGTTAATGATGACGTCATCAAGAGCAAAGACCATTCATAAAATTGACTATTTGTAAAATCGATATTTGTAAAACAGACGTTTTACTGTATTATAAATGGTAAATAATATGTCAAATTTATATCTACTGTAAGCTAGGATGTCTATTTCCTTCAGAAATCGCATTCACCTTGGCCATTGGATCAAACAAATGAGGTATTACAGGTGTAAATATATTTATATTATTTGCTTCCAAATAAAATTAATTACTAGTTTGATGTCCGTGCCGTCATCAAATTTTAGAGCCTCATGAAAAAATTTACTATTTACTATTTAAATAGTAAATACCCTCACCAAAAAATAATTTCAAATCCAAGACATGAAACTAACAATTGATTTTATTTGGCCTAATGATTGAGAACAGAGACATACAAAATATAGAGAATATTGAAATCATAGCTACGTTTATTCTGTGCAGTTTCAAATGCAGAAGTGTACTATTCAGGCCTTGTTGATAATGAATACTAATTTATGATAAGTATTATAGCAGAACTAATGTATATTTAATTCAGACAAAAACATATGTTGGATCAGAGTTTGTTGGATCAAAGCTTGTACATGTGTGCTCTAATTTATTTGAAATTTATCCTCCTTAATTACATTCAGATTGTCTCCAGTTTTCCGGTTTATTCAAAATTCGATGAAGTATTAATTTAAATTGTTATTTTCAAAAGTGTTTTTTAAGTGTCTAAATTGCTAGTCTATTAGAATTCATTCTAGATTGTGCAACCTTAAAATGGTGTAGATAAACATATGACATTTACAGTAAAGATATCTACTATAAATCTTGCAAAAGTTTCAACTAGATTCAATATAAAGTTCTGAGAATCATTTAGTGTTTTATCTTTTTCCTAGAAAAATAAAATGTTTGTCAGCGTTCTTAATTTTTTCTTGTAGACTGGCAATATTACATGCACTGACATCACCTCTGTGTTGAGGATGAAGTGCGCCACCTATTTGTAATCTTTGCGGCTGTACAGTATATCTCTCGTAATGAAATGTGTCTCTTTAAAATTGATTTCTCCCTTTATCCTGGTTCATAGTAGCCTTGTTGCGATGGCGTAAGTTACACCGATGATATCGTAGTTATCGAACAAGCGCTTGTTATGAGGCTAACACCGACCGTATAAATGGGGGTCACCTGATAGAAAACAAGCGCTTCAAGCCGCAAGCTAACACCGACAAATGACCGGATTGGCATGGCTCTCATCCGATAGAACTTTCTGTTAATTGAATTGCCGCATTTTGATTGCACCTGTAGCTTGACGGTCTTGTTTTTGAGCAATTCTGTTAGGCCTAAATATCAACCAAAGTATCTTTAAAATTACCTTTTTGAGTTGTATTTAACTTCATAGTTGTTAAAAGTAATCCAAATAAAACATTACAGGAAAAATTTATATTATTACCATTCGTTGTAAACTTAATATAAATTTTCATATCTTATTTTGGGAAATCTGCAAAATACCGTGGTAGTTCGTTCGCTGTGTCTAAAGATACGGCTGAATGAGATACGATGAACTCCGGTCAAGATCTTACATGATTCTGAACTTGCAGCTAATACGGTATCCTTTTCTTTAGCCACTGCAATTCACACATTCAATAAATATTGATGTGGCATTGGCAGCTGTTCTGCTTGTAGACTATCTCTCTAGTCAATCTATTTATAGTGTATAGTATGATGTATTTATTTAAAAGTTGCTCTTGTGCGTTGACATCATAAATCATTTAAAGCCTGTACTCATTCTAAATTTAAACATGCTGATCTCTGTCCTCAAAATAGCACCAAAAACCCACCAAATATACAAAAGTTTGTCCACACATCAATTTTGTTGATGTGGAGTAGGTTAGCCTTTGTCTTGTATACAGACTTTATCAATGTGCCTTTGAAGATAACTTTTGCGAATTGGGTGCTATATGTTTTTGATTGATCGATATTAAAAGAAATATTGATAAGGCTTGGAATAGTGTCTTATCTGGTACTGGTATGGGCATTTATAATGCTTCTCTTCCTTGAGGTTATAAAGCACAGTTCTTTTTCCTGGTCATTGGGTCATCACATGCTTGACCTGTGTTCTTATTAATCCAACTGCAATTCAATGCTTGGCACTCGCTTGAGCCCAACAGTCATCGGCTGACGCAATTCTTTGAAAACAAGATACACGCACAACAGATCGTTAATGACGATCAACTCAGATTACCACTGACAATCAGCAGACAGCGTTGCAGCATCTATCACTCACAGGGAGTGATAGATGCTCCGTACAACGCAATGAGTACCCATGTTGAGAATGATGTTGCTTCCATTAGTTTTTTTACAGTCATGTAGGGAGGCGTTTATTCGAGTTCGAGGGAGGCATTTATCCAAAACGAGCCTCTGGAGAGGGAATTTATTCGAGGGGTCGTTTATTTAAAGTGGGGCATTTATTCGAATTTATACGGTTTTCAAATGTGTATGTACTCCTAGTGAACATCCTTAAATACCTTTATTACACGGAAGTACTATAACACACACCTGATGATTCTATAGGAGCTTCACCTTGTATGTTTGCTACTGTAATTTGCTAGTAAATACTGATCGTGAAGGGAATGACAATGTCATTAAAATCCCACCTTGGCCTGTCATGATAGATCTAAATTAGGCTATAACAAATTAGCAACCGTTGAATTTTTTCGTATTCAGTATCTATAAATTAACAAATCAATAATGAATCTTTAGTCTAATAGTTAGATATAGTGGAAAGTTCAAGAGGCCATTCATTTATGGGATTCTTTAAAGGAGCGTTTATGTCAAACCTCATTTGATTGGCTAATCTCAAGTGATGTAATTACATTTTAAGAACCAACATTAAACAGTCTAACCATTCGATTAGTACACACTAGTTTTTGGTAAATTTGCATGTTCTGTGAATTTTGAGAAAAAACGGAATAATATTCATAATAAATATATAGCTGTTTGCAATAACTTTCACGAAAAAATATATGAAATTATTGGTATGAGATTTTGGTTTGAAGCGGCTACTAAAAAGGTAAGTCTAAGCAAAGAGTATAGAATGTTAAGAAAGTACTGCCACGAGATGGGGGGGGGGCGCCCTATTAAAATTTGAATAGAGTTCACTTGAAACTCGTCTTTAAAGGACACGCTCCTTTGTGGCAATATTTTTTAAGTAGGATTACGTTCTAACGAAACCACAAAAGTTGGCCCTCTTGCAGTTCTATGTTCTTTGGTCTATATAAACTTATTATAGCTATATGTATTTTTTTTTTATGGGTTTCGAAAGTGTACTTGCAACATTTACAGTATATCATATTTCTTATTTTCTTAGAAAGCAAAAAATTCAATGACATACAAATCGCCAGAAGGAAAAATAGTCCTTACTTCGTTATTTATTAATAACACGACCCTATCATATGTAGTTATCATGATACAAACATTGACTATATTTGTTTCCTTCAGTTAGCAAAGTTATTATCCAGTGTCGTACATTTATACATACATGGCACTGAAATAACTTGGAACTTGGAAATAGTTTTAAAGTATAGGCTCTAGAGGAAAACATTTTTTTATATATTTTACAATTGATTACAAAAAAGAGAGTGTTTAAATGAAAAATTCAGGAATAAATTAATGATACATATTTTTGTAAGTTTTTGAAAACTTGAAAAAAGGGGCATAATCACCATTAGAAAATCAGTTGTACAGCATATTTTAAAAAATGTTTTTCTTCAAAGCCTGGCTTTACTAGAAAAATCTGGTGAAGTATTCAAAATAGGATTCTGTTATGAAGCATAAATCACCGATATTGTTCAGAAATATAACCTATAATACGTCCAGTATGTTTTATATATGTTGAAGCTTGCGGTACACCACGTTCTGAAAAGAACTGTTGTTGTTGAGAAAGTCTTGACGTTTCGATTGAGATGCTTCAATTGTCTTCAGGAGAATAATATCTGCAGACACTCCAAACAGGGAAATACTTATATGTTTTGGTAAAGAGGTTGGATGGTGGTAAACTGACCAATGGGTGAAAGACTAAAATACAAGCTGGATGGTGATTGGATGGATAAACTGACCAATGAGAAGACTGCTAGTGAGAGGCTAAAACAAAAGCCATTGTTCACGAAAACAAAACAAAAGGGTGGGAACGCCCAAACAAAGGCATGGTTCCAGGCCGGGAAAGTGGGTGGGAACGACCAAAAAACAAAGGCATAGTTCCAGAAGGCGGGAAATGGTGAGACTTCGCTAGGTCCAATTTTTCTTTTTTTCTTCGCCATGCAAACCTTTAAGCAATACAGTATGTTTTAATTTCCTATCATACTAATGGATGATGGATGATTACCCATACAAGAATGACATATATACAAATACTTTATGTGTACCTTGTGTCTTGACCATGACATGCTTCTTTCCGACATGCTGAGCAATTTTTGAATTCATTATTTTTTGGCTGGCGGGGGAAATATGACATAATATTTATACATACTTTATATAGAAACTTCAACGCCTCAAAAGATGTTTTATAAAAAACAAGATAAATTAGGCTTTACCAAAATACTGTATATGACCTTATAAAGTATGGCAGTTTTTTAAAGTTACTATTAAGCCTATCAACTGTAGAAAATCAATTATGTGCTCAGGATTGAAGCTGCGGGTTTATGGTTAAGATCCTAGACTGCCAAACCCTTCCAAAAAATGCTATGAAAGACTAGGATTTTTTACTTTTGAGGGGGGAAATTTTAATGTGGTGTCTACTGATATACAAAATGGTTGTGATTGTGAATGAATAAATCACCGGGACAAGTCCTAATTTGAACTTTTGAATGCGCAAATGTGCGATAATATTTTCAGTTACACAAAATACAGTAAAATGTGCATTTTACTTACCTCTTGGTACCAAGGGGTATTTGTAAAATTTGAAAAATTTGTAAATTGAAAAATTTGTAAATTGAAAAATTTGTTGATTAGGTGTAAATTTTTACTTTCTAGGCCTAGCTATCCTCTGCCATAGAGTGCCGATAGGCTGACGACAGCGGTCAGGCCTAGCACTTACTGACAGTGCAAAGCATGCCAGTAGCTAAATTTATATTCTTTAAAAACCAAAGTAATCACTACCATTCGCCGTTTAACAAAATATTGATTTAATTCTTATGAAAACATCTGTATTTTTAACGAACTGTAGAGTAATCACTCCATAAAAGTCCCTACCTCTGCCCTGTTCCTGAATACTGAACAATATGTAGGCCATGTATGGGCGATTCCATTATTTCATTTTATGCTCAAGGATAAAAAAAAATTACATTTCGATGACCTTCACCTTGTCCTTTGAGCTTTTCTTCCCAAAATTTTATCATCTCTTTCTTAGGTTATTATGTACCATTCCACTAAATTTTACGATGGTCAATTCCTTGGTTTTTGTGTAATCTTGCTAACAGGCAGACAGAGAGTAGTGAATACATAACCTCTTTGGTAGAGTAATAACATCATTTACATTCACATGATTGTAGTTATAAACCATATCCAAATGGCTGGCTATTTCAATCCTTTGATTTAATAGAAATGATTGCAAGTCAGTTTAAATTGTATAATTTCATCAAGTTTTCCAGATATTATGTACCATACAGTAGACAGTACAGTAAAACGTCCATTTTACGAACATCGATTTTACGAACAGTCGACTTTATGAGTGGTCTTTTCCCCTGATGACGTCATCATCTACCAATTTTTACCATAAAAAAAGTCTGATTGCGCACGTTTTACAAAGTAATAATGTTTATTTTTCTTAATAAAATCAAGTTTGTTGTATTTATTTATTAATGGTTCGTTCTGATCTTCTATTTCTGGTATAATAATCACCATATTAACATAATAAACCTAACCAGAACAATGAACTACCAATGCAAGTGTCGTCAGATTGAGCACACGTGTTGGGGTCACCAACAAATTGACATTGTGAATGCTACAGTAGATATGAAATGCGAAATGTATGTAAACAACACAATTCGGCAATCTAACAACTAGAAAGAACACGATAGAAAGGGCCATAAAACATTCAGATGTTTGAATAAGAGTTAAAATATTATTTTGTTAAGTGGAAGAATGCCAGTGATTAAAATAGTTTGGTTTTTACGAAGGTAAATTCAACTAGGCTCTAGCATGCTAGACCACGCTGCTGCACCCTTGGTTCGTGCTAGGTCTGGCCGCCGTCAGCTTATCGGCGCTCAATGGCAGGGGATAGCTATGCCTAGATATTGGAAACAGACACCCAATCTAGCTAACAAATTTTTCAATTTATGAACACCCCTTGGTAACAAGGGGTACATAAAATGGACGTTTTACTGTATAACTTTAAGGTAGATGATGGTAAAATGAAATGAATGAATAATTCTATTACATGTTCCATGTTACATGTTACAAACCAAATAATTCTGATGACTTTAAGCTGGTAAACATCTCTCCAGTCCATTTTGATCCGCCTGAAAACACTACATGCCATTTCATATTATGTGATTAAGAATGATGAGTTAAGCATAATTGCTTTCATGGAAAATGCTCGCAGACATACTTCGGCCCATAATAGGGATATGATGCTTATTCAAAGCTCTGTTGTTTATGGTATGGTGATTGTAAACCAACTAATTTGGTTTTATATGTAGTTTGCCTTTAAAAGCACTTACTGTATGTGTCTGAAATTAGGCACACATAGATCATTCAGTCAAATCAATTTAACATTTAATTCATGTCATTATGGACCGAAAAGGAAAAAAGTATAGTCGTTTTTAACAAAATGTTGTTTTGAAGTCCTTTGATCCACACTCAAACTTTATGTTACAAATATCTGTGATTTGATAACATATGGAATATGATGTGACATCATAATAAATGCCATATATGGATGTGATAGGACATTGTGATACCCATATACGGTCAGTTCACACACATTTTAAATTTGTGATGTAAAAAACTTGATTGTGTGGATAAACCTTTAGGGCACCCCATCCTCTTCCCAAAAATATGTGTTTGTGTTGCCTAAGCCTGGATGACCCCATTGAGAATCTAGGGTCCTAGCTTGTTTCTATTTTTTCTCTCTAAAAAATAAGAGCACAAAGTACCTATGATGTTTCAGGAGGGCACTTGTCAGACTTTAATAATTCAATACAGTAACCTTGAATTTTAGCTCTGTGGTTACCAAAATATCAACCATTGATTAGAGCAATGAATCTTTGAATTAGTCCTAGGCCAATAGCAAAAAATACAGACAACTGTTCATTAATGTGTTAGTGCAGCATAACAATTTTTTTGGGCCTGATGTGACCAATTATTGTTGTGTATGTTTATAATTAAACATGGAATTTTGTTTGTATCTTTCAGTGTTGGCAGACCCCCACTCAGGTTTAATACCAGCAAAACTCGGCTTCCTTCTTCTGGGTCACACGTGCCCTGAATGTATCGTAAGTATCTGTCAACTTCTTCTTGAATACGTATACGTAGCATGTCTACAGTATAGTCATGAATCACATATTTCCAGTGACGGTGGACTCAATACCTTTAAAGGAATGCATCTGCATCGTTACAAGTGTACAAGAATTCATCAATAACCTGTCTCGTATATTCAAGCGTGGGATGTAGTATGAGTGATTTTGATTGTCAAGTCATATAAACAATTTTGAATTGTGATGCGTAATTTGAATTCAACAGTAGCAGTATTTATTTGTGAATAACATTCTATTTAGAAATTTTAAATGTAATTAACAACATTTCATTCATCAATTCTGCTCTGTAACCAATAGGCATTTCGCCCCGTGCTTACATTTTTACACACATGTACACACAGGAAAAAGTACTTTCCAAAACTGAACATCGCATGCCTAGCTACATTCTGTGTATAATAACCTATTACATACAATATCTGTATTTAAGTATTACTGTATTATTCAACTTTTTTCTATACATTTGGCAAACACTCCATGTTTGTTGTGAGGAAAACATAAATTTAAAATGAATTAATGAATTAAAATTAAATTATAAATTGTCATAAGTTGTAGTAAAGTAAATTTCATTTCATACAAACAAGGGTTCATACTGTAATATTCCAGTGGTGCATTGGGCATTAAACTTCTTTCTGTACTGTGTTCTTTAATCATTGTTTAATGGGTGTGAAATATGTTCCATAATTTTCATAATTACACAAAGGATCAATGGCTTCTGAAAGATGGTATGCTATTGTAACTTGCATACAATCCTCAGCAATGAATGATTAACTTGAATCAGAGAAGATTTCCATGGTTATGTACACACGCAGTAGCTAACACGGCTGAGCTAAGCTACTCAACTTGAATGTGACTTTTCTTGACAGTTGTATCCAGTAGTGATCAAACTCTTTAAATGTGAATTATTGTTAATGCAAACATGGTATGCTTAAGAGTGTTATTTATATGTGTTTGGTTTTCTGTAGAGAGTGTCACAATCAGGTACTATAATTTCTGTAATGTACAACTTGGGAGTAGGTTCCAGTATGTTGTAGTAAACTGCTATTAAATGAGTGTATATACTAATAATGGTGTAGGGAACACTTACTGCTTCGATCCATCATAAGTATCAATTGCAGCGACTTTCAAGCAAATTGAAAGTATCGTGGCCGTCATCATAGAGATGTTGCAAGTCTCTTTGTTCTCAAAAGTATCCTAAAACATAGATTACATTTCATTTGCTTGAAGAATAGAAGGAATAGAGAAAGGAAGACAAGAAAGGACAGAGAAAGGGAAAGATAGAGAATGGCGAAAAGGATCTTAAAGCAATGGGTAAAAGACAGAAAGGAGAAAGATGGAGTAGAAAAGTGTTGAGTGGAAGAAGAGAGAATACAAGTGGAAATAAAATTGGAAAATGAGGACAAAAAAGAGGAGGGAGAAGGAAAAACATGGATAAAACAAATCCCTTTAATGTACTGTGTAGGCCAAGAGTTGAACGTTTTTAGCAGCTTTGGTCTTTAATAAAAGAAAGTTATTAGAAAAGATAACAGATGGCATTCGACCAAAAGTAATAATTGGGTGGTGGTTTTTTTTAATTGGAGTGTTTTTTTTTAAGAAGATTGATAATAAGTAATGTTTTGGCCAATTAGTAGTGATGTTATGACAAGTCTATTTGAGATTTTTTTATTGCTTGAGCAAGATCTTCTTGTTTGAATTCTATGAGCTCAGTATTATAAGCGATAATCACCAGAGGTATTGACAAGCTTTCCAATTACCCTCATGTTGATTGGTCAGATATGTACCTGCAAAGAACATCCGCTTTTTGACAGAGTGTAAACTAAACATGGTATATTGCATACAGGAAATGATCATGCTCTTACGTTAGTAGCCTCTAACAATCTATTTTTTAGCCAATTACTGTATATGTACTTGACTTTTATAACACTGTCAATTATGTTGTTTTTGTGTATCGAAGATAAATATATTGTCCATGGACAAAACACAAAATTAGTATGGCACAGAAACTAAATGAAACAAGTAAACCTGAGACAGAGGGCTGACAGCATTTTTTTTTCTTTCTACACTGGTCATCGAACAATCCTTTAAGTTGTGAGCCTTTTTTTTTCCTATTTTTTTTTTGTCGATTATGAGGGGTTTAAAGGAGTGGTTTTAGTAGTTTATTTAAACCTCTTCTTTTTTCATTGTTGTTCCTCCTCTTTTCAATATCAAATTTTGGTTGTTGTGCCAATAGTGCCTCAAAACCTCCTTACTCATCCAACATTGCTCCTGTCTCAGAGTGCTTGATGGTTTGCTAATGGCAAATAGCTGTAATGTTGTCACTGATCTTCCATTTCTATGATGTAGAGCTAAATGACAGTTATATTAATCTACCAGAGAGATTTTGAATGTAAAATGCTATTCACTTCCACATTGAGTGGAATTAACTAACTCTATTCTAAATGTTTTTATCGACGAAATAAATGACATGATATACTAGAAGTAAATTACAGATTCGACAAACAGGAAATAAACGTACCTGAATACTCAGTAATAATTTACTCTGAGGCAAAGAAAGGATTTTCAGTTTTCTATGGCCAGCTTAGTGATGTCGCAATTGGCATAGCCCTATTTGAAATCATCCTATTCTTGAGATATTTATAAAAAAAGCAGTGGATATTAAATAATGGCTATTCGGGTACTCACTGCGTCTGACGGTCACTGGCCAACGCGATTCTATGGAGAACGCCACAACGCGTGCGTAAGGATGGATCGTTTTTAATGACGATAATTATCAGATGGCTTTGCGTTGTCTACTGTTCATGGAGCTGAGTTAGATTCTCCGTGCAATGGTCGTACAACTGTCATCCAAGCCAGTGAATGCCTGTCTTTATACAGTAAGTTCATGAATAGTGATCCCCAATTCTATCCTCAAGCAAAGGCAAATTTTGAGTTTTATTATCTGGTAAATTGTTCACTCAGTGACGGCTCTAGGATATATTTTCTGGGGGTGCTGAGCTATCTGACAGGGGAACTTGAGCTCGTAGGCCCAAGACTCGGGGAATGGTTTGAGAGGGTGTTCCCCCTCCCAAATGAAATTTTTTAAAGAATAGGAGCCTCTGGATGCCCAGAAGTGACACTCTCAGACTGTGACAGACATGTGTTGGCTTGGTGTGGGCCTATTTTTATATTTTTTTTAGTATGGCTGCCTGACAAACTCTGTCCGAAGTGGGGCTTGACCTGTCCGGTGGGGACCCCCGGTGCCGCCACTGTGTACACTTTGTTGAAAACAGCCTTACATTTACAGGGATTGAACACCTAGAACTGGCATAAGAAATCTGTTATTTTTGTAACTAGATTAACATAGTTTTAATTTCTTTAGTTTTCATTAATGCCTCATTCCATACAAATTTTTATAGATTTATCATGCAAATTTCAATTATGTAGTGTAGAAGATGTACACTTTAAAATATTTAGCTCTGCACCTACTGCAATTGCAATGGTTAAAGATTTTTGAGAGCCTATAAGCACCCAGAAGATTAGGGAAAAAATTATTATCATGAAATTATTATGTCTCACGAGTATGGTTTTATCAATGTTGCTTTACAGTGGCAAATAAGTAATGAAAAAATGTACATCAGGATGAATATTATTATTGAAAATTCCTATGAATAATGTGAGCACCTTATTTAATATGCATCCCTGTTTAATACACATGCATTTTGAATGTCTTTTCTTAACGCTGCATTGTAAAGCCAGCCGCGACAACGTGTGCGCAACAGGTTTTTTTTAATGACAATCAGTTCAGACTGCCATTGACAATCAGAAGACGGTGTTGCATCGTCTATCGTTCACAGAGAGCGGAGTTGGATTTTTCGTACGATCGTCGTATGATGCAGTGATTGCCCGTCTCAACACGTTTCTGCTGTCACGTCATATCCTATCTATTTCATTTTCACTTATAAAATACAAATTAAACAAACTTTAACACTTAAAATAAAATGTCATAACACTTCACGAAATTGAAAAATAACTGATTCACACACTAGTAAAAAATGCTACACAATCATAGTAGGATTTATTCAATCTTACCAATTATACAGTATTACAAATCAATTATTTGAAATAAATAAAAACTATATCTTTTTTTTTTTTTTATTCAACAATCGTTTGAGAGGGTGGTTGTAACAGCAATTCTATAAAATTAAATAAATAAACAACACCTTGCACTCAGAAACAAATACCAATTAAAATGAAACTAAAAGGATCAAAAATTTAAATGTTGAAACTAATAAAATGCAATGAATTGCTAATTTAGATTTAAAAATTAAAAAGAGAGAGGTCAATAAATTACATTCCAAAAAGTATAAACAATTAAGTTTTTCAATTTTTAAAAATCATTTGGTAGCTTATTCCGACATGCAGGGAGAGGAAAAAGTGAATTAAAAACAGAATTTTTAAAGAAATTTTTATGTGCAAAGCAATGAATGATAAATATGAGAATATGTATTTTCAACTGTAATTAATAAAAAATATTTACATATATATGTCCATGAATGCTATAAAGGAAAGTAATATAAAATCGCTTGAATTTAAAGAGGCGTTCAACTTGTGATAAAATTGCTCTATGTTTTTAGGTTGCATGCAGGTCTAACCAAGCTATGGCCTCCAGATGTGTTTTATGTTTAGACCTAGGCATGGCGCTTTGCTTTTGGCCTTCTGCGTTCAAATCATTTAGAATTTTTTTTCCATGGACCAAATAGAATTAGCGACTGCTATTCTGGCTGTCGACAATAACAACTACATACAGATTATACTTCAAAGTCTTATCTGAACTGTAGTGTTGGCTTTTCAGATAACTTAATGTATGAAATGCAAATCCCATTAATGTTTTACCATCACTTGTGCTTCATGTATGTTATTTGTTAAAGATTTCCAATCAAGACTTTTGAATTAATTGTTAATTGAAGCCATCACTAAAAGGC